GGGGAAACAAAAAAAAAAAAAAATCAACCCCCCCCCCCTGTTAGGGCTTCTGGGGGAAAAATCCCCAAAACTACGGGGGTTTGGAAAAAATTTTTTTTTCCCGTTTTTTTCCCCGGGGGGGGGGGGAAGGGCCCCAATTTTTTCAATCCAAAATTTTAAAACAATAAACCCCCCCCCCGGAAAAGAAGGGAAAATTTTTCCCAAAAACCCAACCCCAAAGGCCAAATTTTTCCTTCCAAAAAAGGGGGAAAAAAAATTTTTTTCAAATCCTATCACCCGGGGGGGGGGGGGGGGGGGGGGGGGGGGCACTTCGTTTTCGTGATGCTTGTCTGTTTGGACGAAATTCCATGCATGCATGCATCTTCCCGTGGGTCGAGGAAAGTGCCATGGTACAAAAGGAAAACACCGCCTTTCCTACGAAAGTTAACACTGCTGTCATTTCTGATGTTTCAGTCCGGTGCATGTTATCGGAGGGGGGGCGGGGGGGAGGTGTACTCATAGTCGTGCATCCCGTAGTCGTTAGACCATTAGCCTCGCATCCCTACAAAGCCGGGACGGACCGGACCAGGCTCTCACATCACCAAGCGCGAAGCGCCGTGAGGTATTCGGCGAGTCGCATGAAGGGTGCGCTGCATCCTGCTAAGGGTGTTCGGCATCTTGTGCTTATTTCCTTGCGTACGGATGACAGCTGCGTATGACTTAGTTTATTTTCTGGTGCTTTCACTTCCAGAGACGGTTGTAAGCACTGTGTAACTGCCTCGAGGAAGCTTGACCAATTTAACACAAAGTGGTGCGATTATCCCCTTTGCGCGGAGTGAGGGTTCTCGACCCCGCACAACATGATCTACTCGACCACCATTCATGGTTACCGCAATAAAGAAATCAAGGCAACAAAAAAAGCGGTAACCTGGTTGCCGAGCTCACGAAGTGATCGGCTAGTTTTACAACATCGCTGCCCAGCGACGAGAACCCAACCCCGTTGGCAAACACCGGGGGGGGCGGCTTGTTTTACAAAGTCGTTGCCAAGCGACGAAAACCCAACCCCGATGGCAATCACCGAGGGGGAGGTTATATGGAGGGGGGTTAGCTTTTCCTGGCCTCTCTTTGGTGCGTATTGTATGTGCTACTATTGTACTTCGAAGTATTGTTGCATTTTCGTCCCGTCTGTTGTTCTGCCTCCGGTCCCCACCTTTCGGTGTATAGACATAAAGTGGTGGGCCCTTTGTAGTGCCGGTCGAATAGTGCCCGTTGCCCGGTGTAGTGCCTGCTTTCGGCTCGCACCCTCGGCAATACCAAGTCGTTCTGTACTTTGAATAGTGCAAGTGTCCGGTACAGTGCCGATAAAGTCTCTGGGACACATACCGGCACTATACAGGGCCCACTACTGCATGTATCAACCGTTTTTTTTTGTGGCGTGGGATTATAGAGAAAGAGAGCCCATCCCAGCGCAAGCACAGCGGGGAACAGAGGTTGTGGCCTGACAGATGGGGAAGAGGCAGTGGATACGCGGCGGTGCACTGGTCGGCATCTCACCTGGCATGTATCTGTGTACGAAAACGCAGTCATGAAATGTGTTTGTTTTGAGGCAGGGTGCGGTGCAGGCATCAGGTTGCCACGCATGGCCGTTCCATCGACGTGACACTCGTAGACGACATGGGCCTCATGCGGGGGAAGAAGTCTGGTGCTGGAGGCCTGCTTGCTGCTGCTGATTCTCTGTCTCCCTCCCCCCCCCCCCCCC